GATTCCTTCTGTCATTGCTGCTCTTTCTATTACTTTTCTCCATTCTCTTGCTACTATTACTATATTACTTTCTATTTCTAGTATCTCTATAATCATTTTGTCTATATAGTCTTCCAAACTCATTACTATATCACTTCCTTCTTCTATTATTTCTTTGTCATATTCTTTTATTGCTACTCCAACTAATCTTATTGCCTTTGATTTGTTCCACATATTTAAACTCTATATTCTGTTAGCTCTTTCTATTCTTATATATCTATTCTTCTCTTATTCTTATATATATTACGTTTTGATATAACTTTGCCTTTTTTTAAGGAATTTCTTTAAGATTTGTTCTATTTGCTAGTATTCTTTCCAGTTTTGGTCTAGCATATTTCCTTTCTGGGAGTTAACATGTGACTAGATTTTCAGAGTTATATTTGTTTGTTTACCATATTCTGAGGTCATCAAAAGCAATGCAGAATCACGTGATATGGGTAATGATTAGCCAAAATCAAAAAGCGATGATTAGCCAGAAAAAAAGATATCCGAATTTATTTTTTGCAAAATTTTTTTAACTTTGAACGAATATATCTCTGCAACTACCTAGTAGAATTCAATAAAAAATTTTTTGTTTTAATTCTATGATTCATAGAATCAAAATAAAAAAAAATTCATCAAATTCTACTAGGTGGTTGTAAAGATATCTTCGTTCAAAGTTTTAAACGTCTAACTAAATAGAAGCTGCACTAAAACTATTTGAATTTTAAACAAAGATATCTCTGCAACCACCTAGTAGAATTTGATGAAAATTTTTTTGGTCTAATTCAACGAATTTATAGAGTTAAAATAAAAAGCTTTTATTGAATTTTACTAAGTAGTTGTAGTGATATCTTTACTCAAAGTTTTAAACATCTGACTAAATTAAAGCTACGCTGAAACTATTTGAATTTTCAATGAAGATATCTTAGCAACTACTTAATAGATCAATAAATATTTTTTTATTTCAATTTTAAGAATCAGTAAAATTGAAATTAAAAAAATTAATTGAATTCTATTAGGTTGTTGCTGAGATATTTTCGTTCAAAGTTTTAAACGTCTAACTAAATAGAAGCTACACTGAAACTATTTTGAACTTTGAACAAAAATATCTCAGTAACCACTTAATAGAATTCAATAAAATTTTTTTTATTTATTTCCAAGAATTAGTAAAATTAAAATTAAAAAAAATAAATTAAATTCTATTAGATGGTTACTAATAAATTTTTCTCAAAGTTTTAAATGAATAACTAAGTTGAAGCTGCGCTGAAACTATTTTGAACTTTGAACGAAAATATCTTAGCAGCCACCTAGTAGAATTCGATGAAAATTTTTTTTTTATTTTAATTCTAAGAATTAGTAAAATTAAAGTTAAAAAAAATTAATTAAATTCTATTAGGTAGTTGCTGATAAATCTTCATTCAAAGTTTTAAACATATAACTAAATTGAAGCTATGCTAAAAATTACTTTGAACTTTAAACGAAGATATCTCAGCAACCACCTAATAGAATTTAATAAATTTTTTTTTTATTTCAATTCTAAGAATCAGTAAAATTAAAATTAAAAAAATTAATTAAATTCTTTTAAGTAGATGCTGAAATATCTTCATTTAAAGTTTTAAATATCTAACTAAATAAAAGCTGCACTGAAACTACTTTGAACTTTGAACGAAGATATCTCAATATAGAATTCAATAAATTTTTTTTATTTCAATTCTAAGAATCAGTAAAATTAAGATAAAATAAAATTAATTAAATTCTATTAGGTAGTTGCTGAGATATTTTTATTTAAAATTTTAAATATCTAACTAAATAGAAGCTGTGCTGAAACTATTTTGAATTTTGAGTGAAAATATCTCAGCAACCACCTAATTGAATTCAATTCTAACAGTAAAATTAAATTTAATTGAATCCTATTAGTGATTGCTAAGATATATTCATTCAAAATTTTAACCATCAAATAAAATTACTAATCCTAAGAAATTTTATTTATATTTAAGACTCCAATAATGTATTTATCAGTGCAAGAATTTAAAGCATATAGGTAAGAATTATAATTTTATTTATTTTGGTCTATAAAACTACTTCACATATTTACAAGACCAATTAACCTGCATACTTACTCATCTTTGTCTACTGTTCTGGCCTAAGGCTGTTTTACCCATCCACTTATCCAACAAACTTCTGTTTTTTTAGTCCTTAAGACTGCTTCACTCATCTACTCACCTAATAATAATAATTTTTTAATTATCTATAGTTAAATAGTCAAATTCTGATAAAAACAAATCAATAGAGGCTTCTAACATTAAAATGAAAGTCTTCATTCTCTCATCATTGCTATTCACCACTATATGCTAATATTTGTCTCGCACTCTTTTGTTTAGCTCATACACAGTAAGCTTCAAATTTTCTGCTTTTTTTTGTTGTTCTATTTTTACGATTTCTTCTATTACTAATTCACAATATTTATATACTTTAAACCACTTTTTTCAAATATTTTTTGAAACATTTTCTATATGTTAGGAGTCAATAACCTTATAGCACTGTATATATATTTGTGGAAGATATGCTTATAAGGCAATAAATAATAATTTCGAAATAGACAATAGCACTCAAGTGAAATTAAACCTAGAGCACCTTTACCTTTTTCGAGTCTGTGTATAACAGCACAGGCTTCCTTCACCAATAATTTCTGAAAGGGATAAGGAAATTTGCAAATTCCCTCGAGAACATTACTTGTCATACTGTATGCAGATACTTTTTTAATGTGAAATTCAAATGCGATACTCTCTGAATCAGATTGTTTTTTAGTATCAATAGTAACAATATTGTAAGCAGTACCTAAAATTAGATAGAGAAAAATGAGAAATTTGACTTTTTTTAAAAAGTTTAATTTCTCAAAATTAAAAAAAAAAACATATCTATGATTTTATAAGCAGATATTCGTATGATTGGCAGTTTAATCAATTTAATTTTACATTATTTATACAGTTTAAAGTACCTTTTTAAAAAAAAATAAAACTATGAAGAATAAACAAAAAAGAAGTATA